ATTCTTTTTGTTGAGAATGCAATTTTCTCTTTTGCGCTCCAGATTTGTAATTCCGTTTGTCTACCATTCTTTAAAGCCTCTGAAATTATATTACAATAAATCTACTATTTTTTATTTTTCAACAAACAACTCGAGAGTCTAAGGTCATAAAGCATAAAGTTTGAAGTTTGCATGAAAAATAGTCATTCACGAGTTAAAATTCAAGAGATATCGACTAAACTAAGAATTCTACTATAAATGCCTACTTTGAGTACTTTGGACTCTCGAATATGGAAAACTAATAAAAACGTACCTTTAATTCCCTCTTAATTACAATTAAGATGCAAATAACAACAAAAAAACAATTACCAATGAATATTGGCGTTCTTGCTTCTTGCTCTACAGTCTTCACTACATTTTCGACAAAACAAGGCGAAAATCAAGAAAGCACAGGGTCGAAAGGCTTTAAGATTAAGCATTTAGCACAATTTGACGCGAAGGCAATACAGAGAATAACCGAAAATTCACGGGGAATCACCGAATCACACACATCACGATATATAAACGTCAACGATCATTATAAACGTCATCAACATAAAGGGGGTGCGTTCAAGAATCGCACATTCAGCGTGAATGCGATAGCAGTGCGATGCGATATTAGCTTTGTTTGTTATTTGCACCAACCGGCACCAACCTACTCTTTCTACACCAAACGTGTATGCTTGTCTCTATAATTTTGTTAGTCTGTCTCTGTCAGTCCGTCTTTTTCACTGATTCGGTGCAGCTTGGTGTAGCTTTGGTGCAAATAAACAAACAAAGCTATGCTCACCTCTGAAATCATAGTCACACCGAGCGTGCTATTCTCTATTCTTGAACCTGCCCCTATACCGCCGAACACGCGATCATGATACGTCACACGTGCGAGAAAAAAGCGAAAGTTTGACTACATTCGTGGCCTTCGGCCTTCATGCGCCTGGACTGTTTAGTGGCTGTGTTGTCGCATTGAAAAATACATTAAAGGAAGATGGAAAATAATGCATTAGAAGATTTTCGCTGGCGTTCAAATATTAGGTTTGTATGTTTGCAGGCTTTTTAAATATACGTAATAATTATGTGACCGTGCTTCGGGGGCCCCGTTGGGGCCCCTAGGCTTGCGGGGCCCCCGGGCATTGCACCGGTTTGCCCTACCATAGCTACGCCCCTGCTATGATTTTTAGATGATGATACTTTCACAGTTCAATTTCTAACTGAACTTGTGAATATTGGCTTCATTTCTCTACAGGAACCAATAAGTGAAATCTATAGGGTTGCTGAGGATGGCAGGTAAGTACCTACCTCCAGAATTGAGAATATTATGTTTTAAAATGTGAATATTTCCAATTTCAGTGGAAGCCAAATATACCCATTGTTGGATAATGGTTATAAATTTCTTTGATAGCCTCATCGAAACAGTGAAAGAAAAAACTCGAAACATCCAGAATTGCAGAGAAATAATTTGTGAGTTTCTAATTAACAAATAGAGAGTCATTGCTTTTGTTATTGCACAAAAATGTTAGAAGTTATATGATTACCGAGACTGAGGTTCTTCCAGATAGAAGCAATATCTATTCATAATAATATATGGTTATCAGGAAGCTTATCTGTTGTTACCGTAGTAATATTTTTGGGAATTATTGTAAAAATTTAAAATTCAAATAATAATTTGTTTTATTTTCAGTTTGGAATGATAGGCCAGGGCAGTTAGCAAAAATAGGAGTAGTTTTTGCAATCAAGCTGATTTTTTCACAGATGATAGAACCCATCAACAGTACTCTGTAAAAAAAAGTTACACCTCCTAGGAGGCTTGCTTTTTCCGTCATGATGAATTAAAGATGGCGGCTGGTGCTATTCTTAAAAAAAATTGTAACTTTCTCATTTATTAACCGATTTCCGTCAAGTAAAAAAAATACCTTTTTCTACTGACGTTTCATAATAGCAACTTTTCGATTGTCATTTCAGTTTTGAAACGACATTCTTTTAGGCAATGAGTGCGTGAAAGTTACTTTTAGGCACTCAGTGCGTAAAAGTGACTTTTGAATGCGTAAAAGTGACTTATGAGTGCGTAAAAGTAATTTTTAAGCACTAGTGCCTAAAAGTGTCATTCATTATTCAGAAATAAAAAACACACTAAACACATATTTGAATTTTGTTTTGTATTTATTATGAATATTGAAAATGGAATTACTGAATTGAACGTTTGGGTTACTCAAAACAGAACTTTGTGTTATTACCTACTTTCTAGGATTTTAATTATTGATGTCGAATTTTCAAAAGAAAATCGCATGAAAAGTGTCAGGTGGCAAGCAGGTAACAAAGATTTTGGGTGTAATCGACTTATTCACATGAAATAAAATTGTATTTTTTTATTATAAAATGCCAGTAGAAAAAATCTTGTATACAATACGTTACGAAACGATGTCTTTTAGTCACTCGACGTGTTGTCCAACTCGGCTTTGCCTCGTTGGACAATTTTCACGTCGCGTGCCTAAAAGACGCTCATTTCGTAACTTATTGTATAAATAGCTATTATTTTTGAATAAGGAATAAAATGAAAATATAAAATCATTTTGACAGGTTGTATTTCTGTCAAAAAAATAAGAATAAAAATTGAATTGGTTCTCTTTTTCTGAACCGTAGGTACTTCTTAGTAAAAAAATTTAAAAAATATGCGCTTTTTTCTCTGATTTTGCAATAGTTTTCGAGTTTGAGATAGGTTGAGTAATTCGGGAGATATAGTCGAAAAGAACTTGAGAATCCAAAGAAAAAAAAAAACTTATGCAGGATGTGAAAACTCTATTTTTTTTATACGCTCCCAAAAATAGCTATTTTTTGGACTCATTTCAGTCCGTAAATTGCTCAATTTCCAGCCTAGTCCGAAAATGTTACTTTTCGGCCTATACTGTTAAATGCTCCATTTTTGGCCTAGTTTCTAAAATTCGTCATAGCAACTTTGTCAGTTGACATGTACCTGTCGCACATGCCAATGCATAATCAGTTTTAAATTTTAAATGTGGTCACATTCACTTCACATCTTTGAGCTATTAGAAAAAAGTATAGTTTGTTTCACGTATCTAAAATATACGTTTTTTAGGTACCTACCTACTTGTTACAAAAAAATACATATCTTAGATCGATTGATTAAAAATAGTTACTTTACGCACTGTGCAAGCGTTGAATTAGATTTCACACACTATTGCTTAAAGTGATTCACGAGAACAAAAAAGTTTAGTAAATTGTAGTTTCTTCGCGAAAATGCCACAAGTATAAAATTTTATATTATAAAAGCCTTTACTGCCCTTTTTCTGCATTAGGAATGTGATTTTACTTCACACCTTAGGTTGTGAACTAAGTTACTTTGGACACAAGGGCGTAAAGTTATGATATATTTTTATTTTTTTTTCAAATTTATGGCATTCGAGCGTTATGATCCATATCGCCCGCTTACAATATTGTCGGTAGTAGAAAAAAAAATGTATGCAACAGGTGTGTAAAGCTTTTTTTTTAATACATTTGTGAAAAAAGGTTCACTTTAGACATCTGTTTATGTTTTATACCAAAAAAAATTGTAGTACCAACAATATAAAGCCATACATGGTATATTTTTTCATACCACAACTTTACGCCCCAGTGTCTAACTTAGTTCACAACCTAGGGTGGAAAGTAAAACCACATTTTTAGTGCAGAAAAAGGGCAGCAACGGCTTTTATGATATAAAATTTCATACTTGTGGGTATTTATTATTTATGCATTTTTGCGAAGAAACTAATACAATGTAGGTCGGGTATTATGAAACTATTTCAACAGAATAACTGAAAGTTAACTTCTCGAACGACGTTACTTCTCATGGTAATTCCAGAAGTTAACTTTTAGTTATCTGTCAAAATAGTTTTATAATACCCTCCCTTAATAAACTTTTTTGCTGTTGTGAATTACTTTACGCAATAGTGCGTGAAATCTATTTTCACGTCTTTTGAACAGTGCGTAAAGTAAGTACTTTACGCGCGGTAGTAGAAAAAAAATATTCGTTAGCTAAAACCAAAGGCAACTGTTATTATGTTAATCGAGCCAAAAAATAAAGTTTTCACATCCTGCATAAGTTTATTTGTTTTGGATTCTTGAGTTATTTTCGACTATATCTCCCTACTCCCAACTACTCAACCTATGACAAACTCAAAAACTGTTTTGAAATCAGAAAAAAAGTGCATATTTTTAAGATTTTTTTGCTAAGAAGTACCGATCAAAGCTATGGTTCAGAGAAAATTTAAGAAAACCAATTCAATTTTTTCCTATTTTTTTTTAATTTATTTATTTTTTTTTGACAGAAATACTACCTGTCAAAATGGTTTTATATTTTTATTTCATTCTTCAGTTCAAAACAAAGGTATTTTTTTTACTTAACGAAAATCGGTTAATAAACAAGAAGTTACGATTTTTTTCAAGAATAGCACCAGCCGCCATCTTCAAATTATGGTGGCGGAAAAAGCAAGCCTCCTAGGAGGTGTAAAAATCAGCTTGATTGCAAAAACTTCTCCTAAAGGCCATTTTTTCAACTGCCCTGGCCTATGATGAACAAACTAAAATATTACTGGACACATAATTATGATGAGTTTATGTCTAAAGTAGGACCACAAAAAAAAATTAAAACTAAAAAATATATGTGCTTTGGAAGGCAAATAACAGGTAATCAGTGCGAAAATCGTTCACAAAGATTGATAATATTATTTACAAATTTCCTAAACTTTATAGTGATACTAGGTAGATATGTCCAAAAATAAATTAAGAATTGAAGAAAATTTCCAAGCCAGTTTTCTATAAAAGTAGGCCAATTCCTTCAGCATTCCGGAACTCTGTGATATAGGTAATAGGTACTACTACCTAGGTGCTCATAGTTTCTTATCTGATATAATATTTGTTCCATCACAAGGCTACTTAGATGATTTATGTATATTTTTGATGCTGTAAAACCCCGGAGATATCGACAAATGTATTCAGGAAAAAAAATAATAAAGCGTTCGAAAAAAAAGCAAACTTATTTACTTATTGACGGCGATAACTTGGAAACAATAAGAACTGTGTATATTGTTATAGATCGTCTAAAATATCAGTTTAGTTCAGTAACTGAGGCGTTTGATGTTATTTGCAAATGTTACCATATAATAAAGTAGCTTTGCTCCACAAAGCCAGCATATATTGCAATTATTTCAAATTTGTGTATACAGAATAAGAACCAACTTTGACCAACTTATTGGATATTCTTGCTCAGTTTAAGTAATCTTTTAGTTTATCTAGCAACGCCATTTCCCTTGAAATTTAATTCCTAAAAAAATTGATTATATATATTCCTGAATTGCATATAACATGTGGTAAATAATTTTCTGCAATAGAGAAATATATTATCAAAGCATAACATTACCTTTTATTGTCACATAGCGGACACATTAACCTCCTCCCAACTTCCCTTCCTCTGTTAATCCTCTAAATTCTCCCAGAGAGGTTTATGTACTGGAATCTCTTCAGTCTTCCTGCAAGTCTGGATGAACTCAAACTTGCGCTTATGGCGATTAAAAACAAAAACTTCTCTGGTTTTGACGTTATTTCAGTTAGGGTCTTAATGAATCTCCCACACTCAAATCTGAGTACTCTGGTCAGTCTAATGAACTTATCATTTTCCGCAGGTGAGTTTCCCAAATGTTTGAAAACAGCTTTATCATTCCAATGCATAAGGGTGGTAATAATAGTGATCTATCCAACTTTCGGCCGATTTTCTTGTTATCGCCACTTTTAAAAATCATTTAGAAACTTATGAAACCCAGAATGCTTGAACATCTGGAAAATCACAATATTATTTCACATTTTGGTTTCAGAGTTAGAACACTGGAGACGCAATTTTTAATTTTTTGGAGGAAGTTTATCTGAGGCTCAACTCTAGGTCGGACTCTGGCGGCAGTGTTCTATGACTTTTCGAAACCCTTCGAGTGGGTGAGTCGATTGTGTAACATCGACTGAAATGGCTAGTAATGTAAAGCGCCACATTTTGCAGATAGTCACTCTGTTTGACCTTAAAATGAAAGCCGCAGGATTTCTTTTGACGAAAAGTTTAGAAATGGTAGAAAACTATTTCAAAAAACACTCCCATCTGTTACAAAACAAAAACAAACTGGAAATAAGTACATGTGATGCTCTTTTACATATTCAAGTCACTTTTAACCAGTACCAAATGTTATAATTTTCAACTGTCAGAACATTCGTTACAGATGCAGAAGGAGTAGAGAACAACCATGAAAGTGTAGCCTGTACCAGGTCCAAGTTTTCGGAAAATATCGACACACCTCAGAGATGATTCCTATCAATCCTATGCCCGAAGAAACTGAGTTATGAGTTGTTCATAGTGGAAGACGTGTATGATCATAATTATTCATAGTTTATTCCACATCCTTCCAATCCTTCCATAGAATTCGCGGAAGTGGCGGTAACAAGTACACCAACCCCAACAGTGGAAAGACAAATTAAGAAAGTAGAATCTGGTTTATCCTTCTCAAATCCTGGCATTCTTGGCCCTAGTACAAGCACAAGCAATAAACATCCTGCTTCTGAGGCCCCCAATGTAGTGTCACGACCACGAAAAGCTTTTAAAAGGAAAATGATTGAAGAACCGAATGATTCATCTTGCAGCCTCATGGGCTCTGGGCTCATCAAACCCTTTGACAATTCCAAGAAAAAAGGTATATGAAAAAAATATGCAATCATTTATTGACTTGCTTTCTCCAGAATATAAAAAGAATATAGATATAGCTTGGGCAAAATTTATATTTGGCTGCAGTATACCTTTTTCCACAGTAAAATCACATCATTTTTAAAAACCTATTTCTTAGCTCGAACCAGCCTACAAATTATCCACTAGAAACACCATTGCGACAACATTGCTTGACCAAGTCTATGAAGAGATGAATAATACAGATGCAGATCAATATGGAGAAGAATCGGTACTTCTTATCGATGGTTGGAAAAACTCTATAGTTAACACCAAAAATTTTGTAACTATGATTGACAACAATTATGGAAAACCCAAACGCTACTCTCACACATTCGTTCCAAGAGAAGCTTGACCAGAAGATCATACATCCTGCGGGAAGTGATGCCTCAATTTTTGGAAGATGTTCCTCTGGCTGTTGGACGACGCATGTGGTACTAGACGGAGCGCCCATCTCTCCATAAACGTGAGACATAATTTGAATAAAACATTCCCTCAGAGATGGATCGGCAGGGGTGGACCAATTCCCTGGAGCGCAAGAACCAGAGATTTGATATCGTGTATTTTTTTTTATGGGGTTACATGAAGAGTCTTATTCACGAGACTCCAGTCGAAACTTAGGAAGAATTGGTTGGAAGGATTGTTGAAGCAGCTGCTCGAGTAAGAGAAATGCCGGTGATTTTCGAACGTGTTCGAGAGCAAATGTTGCTGGTCGAAATTTTGAACAGTTGCTATAAAAATATATATTTTTTTTGCTTGCTCCTCATCTATTCAATTATCACAGAGATGGTTTAATTTGAAAGTTTTTGTTTCCTACAATTTACACTGAAATTTCTAAGATGAACCTACCCTAAAATTTTGTATGATACCCTATCTGATACTCGAGGTTGCAATTTAGGAAAAAGTTATTTTTTTTATTTTCAAGTAACAAATGGGCTGGTGAACCAAAAACTATTTATTTCAGGTCAGGGAAAGAGAAAACCAAGGAAAAGTATACTCCAAATTTGGAAAATGCAAAACAAAATATCAAAAAAAAACTTAAAATTCCAGAAAAAAGAAAAACGGTGGTAAAAACACAAGACCTTGCAGAATCCGAGTCAGAAACAGAAAACCCTTTTTCCGAGGACGAGGAAGACGATTGTGCTTGCATTGATTGCACACAGAACTTTACAAAATGTCCAAACGAGGTGAAATATGGCTATGTTGTAAATCTAAAAAGTGGGCGCATGCCGAATATGCCAGCGTAGACAAGAAAACGAAAATGTTTGTCGGTGAATTTTGTACCCAGTAAAAAGTAACGCTATGTCATTCTACAGTCGGGTGAGGTAAATTGTTTTGTTTTTTCTATTTATTTATTTATTTTTTTTTGATAAAAAAGTCTCATTTGAAATGATACAAAAGGATTGATTCAAGTTTTGTATGAATTGTTTTAAAATAAATAAAATTCTAGTATTTGAGTTGTCAAGCTGAAAACACAATTAGTGGTGCCACGAGACGAGGCTAGACGAGATTTGAGGTGGGTCTCGTCTCGTCTCGTCTCGTCTCGTCTCGAGATGTCGAGGCGAGACCGTGACTTAGTCTCGGTCTCGCGTACCAAAGTCTCGTCTCGTCTGGTCTCGAGTTATACAGGGTGTCCGGAAATAAGCGTAAAACTCTTCACTATGTGGTGGAGGACCTTTCAAGGAACCCCACAAAAATAATTTAAAAAATCTAGTGGCATTCCGAAAAAAATTTTTTGCATTTCAATATTTATTAAAATTTGCAACACTGAAAATATCCCGTTGACAATACGTCAGAAGGTTGTTTGAGAGAGGTAGGTCCAGGTTGCTTGATAACTTTATGACATCATCTGGGGTGCCTCAACATAATGAGTCATCAGGTTACCCATTACCAGGTAACCTATTACCTTTAGGAACCTTGTTAAATAACTATGTAATTACCTGTAGGATTCGAATGTGAATTTTCACATTTACCTCTACATATTACCAACAATAATGCTGGAGAAGGTTTTTTTTAAAACTATTTTTCTAGGGTTTCTCAAAGGGTCCCCTACTACGTGGAGAACCTTTATGCTATTTTTCGGACACCCTGTATTTATGGTTTTTATTTTTATATTATAACGGAAGTTCAAACTGCAACAGTGAAAAAGCAGTTATTTGAAGAGTGAAAAGCACAGTAAAGAGTAAGTATCCCTGATGTTTGAAAAAATATGAACGTCAAATTAAGAAAAAAAAAATGTCGGACAAAACAGTTTTTGAAAAAAGAATCACCCTCTAATTTTTTTGTGAAATAATGGGATGCTTTCTACATATTTTATCTTCAGATTTAACTTCCAGTTTAGCCGAAAGTGCTTATGCTTTAAACGTTTTTTTAAATTGATCTCACTACTGGCTAAACCGAAAGTGGAATCTGAAAATTAAGTAGGTATGTAGAAATCATCCCCATTATAGACCCTGAGATAGGGCCTGTTTAGTGGAGTAATTTTTTTTGTCTGAGGGCTGAATGAGGCTAGTTAGCTGATGAGAATATAGGTGGTTTTAATGCCTGCACTCCGTTCGAAATGTCCACAGAATATTTGGCCGGAAATCTCGATTTCGAACTGAGATGACCGTCTGGCGATTTTTCAGCGTTATTTTCACAACAAAACCTTCCATTCTCTCGATTGCCAGACGAAAAGTAAACGCGGAAGGTTCCTATCTTTTCCCTTGGAAGTTGACACCCATCCCCACTTTTTCAGTTATTGAAAAGCATTTGGTATTTTTTATGGGTGAATTATTTATCAATGTCAATCTTTTATTTAAAAGCCAGAAAATTTGAGATCAATAAAAAAAAATCTTCATGTGAATCAATTTTTTTCTTCTTCAAATTTTCGAACGGGCGGCAGGCATTAAAATCACCAATTACTCCACTTAACAGTCCCTATCTCACTGGCTTTTAATTGTTATTATTAAAATTTACTGATTTCATATTCAAATAGCCCAGAATAATCCAATAATAAAGCTATGAAAGTAAAATTTTAATTGTAATCTCGAGACTCAAGACTACGCGAGACTCTCGCCGAGTCTGGTCTCGTCTCGTCGAGACTTCACGAGACGAGACCAAAAGCTAGTCTCGTCTCGAAAAGTCGAGACGAGACGAGACGAGACGAGACCAGTCTCCAGTCTCGCGGCATCACTAGACACATGACAATACAAGGTACAAAAGACAGATACAAAATACCAAAAAATCGAAACTTTGTATCGTGGCATGGCAAGTAAATTGTATCCTGTATCCATTTATTCTAGGTTCTAGCAACTTATACACGTGTTTTTATATTTTTGTCTCTTGTCACTTGTATCTTATATTTGTCATTGTGTCTTCGATCTTATGAGACTCATAACACAACTAGTGGTGTTATGCACTAGGTTATGAATTTATAACACAACTATGTAGTTTTTGTGATTTGACAAATGTCAAAGTTAAACCTGTAAAGGTAAAATGAAGGTAGACAACTACTAATAAACGAAAATTGATAAAACATTTTCTTTTCGCTTTGTAGATAAAACGTTGTGCATCACGCGTGGGTTTAAACATGACTACAAAACTCCTGTGATTAGAACGTACGACCTCGTCGTTCTTATCTTTCACAGTAATAATCATGTTCATAAACGCAATGTAAATAACTATTGTGTGTGTCTGTATTAGTCGTGAGCCAGACGCCGAAGTAAACACTTCGACCACTAGCGCACCGCCTTTGAAGATGTCTGCCGCAGACGAAACGTTTGGGATAAGCACTACCCTCAGACCACGGTCCACAAACCCAGATAAATTTCATCATCAGTTAGACTCCGGCCGTGAAAGCCTTCACTCATAAATAACTATTATTCGACAAACAATTCAAACAAATTTTGTCTTGCTTTGTGAATTGTGACTGTGACCCTGTGACATTGAATGGACAATTCTCTCGACAATTCTGCAATATGTCTAAATTCAAAGGTCTATACCGAGGTCTAGGCTATTTCAAAATCGTAGCAGTGATAAGAAAAAATAGAAGAGAATATAGCTACGTTCCCTATAAATGGGAAAAAGACGGTTGTCTTTATTGGTCACAGGCAAATATGTCAGCCCTAAGGGAATCAACAACGAAGCCTGAAACTGATTAGAAACAATATAACTGTAAGGTAAAAAAACTTATATTTATGGGTTACAGGAGGCCGAACTATGAGAGGGGAAGTTTGTGGATGAGGGAACTGATGCAGATGGATTGTAATTACCCAGTCATAGCCATATATATTGTCGCGGCTTTGTGTTGCCTGCTGACAAAAATCTTGGGTTCGTCGTTCGTTTCGTTTATTCCAAAAATCAAAGTCCAATTAACACAGCAATAATTTATTCCACTTAATAAAACACTCTGACACTAATTACTTGATTAACAAACTCAACAATCAAACTCTTTAACTCTTTACAATCACTATTTAAATCGTATCACAGTCGAACTGAAACTTAACTTGCAAGCTAAAACCCGTCCTTATATATATCCCTAAATCTATTCCTGTAAAATCTAGAACACACACGATAATCTAATTTTCCAGATTGAAGTAGAATAATTCGCTAGATTCTAGTATCTTCGCCATCGATTCTTGACAGCCTGGCGCACGCCGTTAACGATATCGTAGCACTGCCCTCCTCTTAAGGTTGATCGTCCCGATCAACTTTACGCCCATGATATTTCGCCAATCTGTCCAGATGTACAACTTTCATCTTACTCCTGATGTTGCGCTGGACTCGATAAACCAAATCATTGATCCTCTTGATTATTCTATAGGGTCCTTCCCATGCTGAAGACAATTTCGGCGATACTCCTTTCTTAATTGCTGGGTTATACAACCACACTAAATCACCTTCTTGAAATCCGACCGAATTGGCTTTCAAGTCGTTCTGGTCTTCATTCGGTCACTGGCTAGTTGAATATGCTCCCGAGCAAAATCATGGATACCCAGAAGTCGTGCCCTTACTTCGTCGGCATAATCCCGGATTTCTCTTCGTTCTTCTTCGGGTACTCCAAACATCAGATCGCAAGGTAACCTGAGTTCCCTTCCAAAAACAATTCTAGCCGGACTTTCACCTGTTGAATCGTGAACAGCCGCTCTGTAAGCCATTAAAAATAGAGGCAAATGCTTGTCCCAATCTCGTTGGTTCTTTGCGACCACTTTTGTCAGGTGTTCCTCTATGGTCTTATTGAATCGTTCCACCATGCCATCAGACTGAGGGTGTAAAGGTGTTGTCCTGGTCTTACGGATTCCCATGATCTCACAAATTTTCTTAAAGATGGCAGATTCGAAGTTTCGTCCCTGGTCTGAATGTAACTCTAGTGGCACACCATGACGACTAAAAACTTCGTCCACTAGCACCTGGGCAACAGTGATGGATTCTTGATTGGGAATAGCGAAAACTTCTGGCCATTTACTGAAGTAATCCATGATAACTAAGATGTATTTGTTATCACGCTCTGACTCTGGGAACGGTCCAGCAACATCTATCGCTATTCTTTCAAATGGGAGACCGACGTTGTACTGTTTCATGGGCCCCCGAGATCTTAGTTTAGGGCCTTTACTGGTAGCACAGATGTCGCATTTTCGGCACCAGCTTTTAACGTCTTCATGGTAGTGAACCCAATAAAAACGTTCCCGAATTTTGTCCAAAGTCTTGCTAATTCCGAAATGTGCCCCTGAAGTTCCGTCGTGTATCTCTTTTAATACATATTCCACTCGGTCTTTTGGGATAACCAGTTGGCTCTTAGTGGATTTCCCATCGGCACTTTCCCAAACTCTTTTGAGCAAACCATTTTCTACGGCCAGAGAGTTCCACTGGGCCCACAACGCCTTGTAAATCAAGCTTTTGTTTGACACTTCCCCCCATTCTGGCCTACATTCATCATTTTCTTTAAGATGTAAAATTTGCCCGATGTCCTGGTCTGCCTCCTGATCTTCTCTCATTTGTTTGGTAGTCCATTTGTCATCGACGATCAGGCCCGTTCTTCTTACAACTGGACTAGTGTTTTTCTCATGTATATCGATTCTTTGACAATGCTTGCAATCTTCTTTACATGGCCGTCTGGACAGAGCGTCAGCATTTTTATGCAGGTTTCCAGGTCGATGTTTAATTTGGAAATCGTATTGCTGCAATTTCTCAATCCATCTAGCAAGCT